GGTCACCACAAGGGCGAGCACCATGCGACTCGAAATAGTCGAGCAGTGTCCGCGAGTTCTCTCCAATAGGGCCAAAGTACACGGTCTTGCCACCACGAGCCAAGAAGAGCAGCTGGTCAAATTGCTCGAACAGGATAGCACTAGGTTGGTGAATGGTGCACAGGATGGCTTGTCCCGCGTCAGCCAACTTGCGAAGGAAGTTGCAGATAGCCCAAGAGCTCTGGGAATCAAGACCACTACACCAATTAGCTCAAGTCAATATCAATGCAAGATGGTCTTACCTGGTTGGTTCATCCAAGAACAGTAATAGCTTCGGCTTAGCGGCCAGTTCCACACCGATGGTCAACAGCTTGCGTTGCTCAACATTCAAACCCTCACCAGGCACACCGACCACTGCCTCAGCAAAGTCCTCCATGTTAAGCATCTTGATGACCTCTTCCACATACTCATATTTCTCCTCTTTGGACACAGAGGCGGGCTGGCGCAGCATCGCGCTAAAGCGCAGACTCTCACGCACTGTGGCTGTCTCAAGATGCAAATCCTGCTGCTGCACATATCCTGTTTTCCGTTGGAAGCTTGAATCCAGTGGTTTACCGTTGACAAACATATCTCCGGTAATAACGCCCATAGTCGTACGGTGCGCCAACACGTCAAGGAGCGTGGTCTTTCCCGCGCCACTGACACCCATCAGGGCCGTCAATGTACCCGGCTTGACCCAGCCTGACACGTGATCAAGCAGCCGACGAGGCTCACCTTTGATCTCGATATCGTACACGACGTCGCGCCAGGTGAAGATATCGTGCTGAGGAGGAATCGACGCAATACCTTGGTCTTGCTTATTTTCTTCAGCGGAAGAAGAAACTACCGTCTTGCCAGCGCCGGCCTCTTCATCCGCACTGGGCTCGTGTCCATTCTTCAAGTGGGCAGGCTCATGGCCTCGACGGAAGACGAGAACCTCCGCTGTGCTGGTCGTGGCGGAATTGAGCTCGGTTGCGACGAAGTAGATGACCATGAAGCCAACCAAGAACGCTATCAGAATACCGAAGTTTCTCCAGACATGCGAGTAGCTGTAGCTGTACGACGCTTCGATGTATGCATCCCCACTAACAGTCCGACGACCGGCAACAGCACCTCTTGCTGAGCAGACGAAGGAGTCACCTGCTAGATTGGGATAGCCAGGGATAAACTGTGAACAGATGAACTCCCGCCCATGAAACTCATTGGCTATCAGGATCTCAAAGGCGTAAAAAATGGGATTCAGATAGTGAATCCACTTGAACCACGGGTGCATATAGTCGACTGGGACAACGAATCCGGTGTAAATGACTAACATTAAAATCAGGACACCGGCTAGTGTCATGGCTTGGGACACAGTCTTGGTGATGGCGGCCATGGTCCGGAAGACAGCACTCATGACGAACATGATGATGAACGTAATGAGGAAATAGATGAAGAATTGAGACGGTTCGCGACGTAGACCACTCAGGAAATAGAGAATAATGTTGAACGCTACTGCCATGAGGAACTTGACTGGGATATCACTGACAACCCCTGCAATGGCCTCGGTGGCGGGATGATAGAAGGCGAAAGATGCATGTTTCTCGACGATTGGTCGCTGGGAATATAAACTATTAATCTCAGTCATTGCGGTAAGGGCATTAAGCAGCACGGCGTAGAAAAGCGTCGCACCCTTGGCGTAAAAACCCGCGGTGGCCGTGGGGGTTCCGTAGAAGACAGAACCCACAATCAAGGCGAGAATGCAATTACCAATGAACGTAGTCAGAGTGGAAGTCCGTTCATTCCACACTCGTTGATAGGCACGCTTGGTGTTGAGTTTGATCTGCATGGGAACGCTGAGGAGATACGGAGACTTGGCCCGGGTATGGGATGCCTGCGCCTGGCGCTTGTGCTGCTGAAATTCGAGGAGTTTCTCATGCGACTGCGAAGACGTTTCTCCTTGAAAAGCAGCCATCTGCCGCTGAAGCTCCTTGTATTCTTCCGACTGGTGCCAGTATGCCTCGAACTCGGCCGCGGTACGGGGCACCTGCGACTCCATGCCGGGCCGAGCTTGTCTTTCTATTGGGTTGGTCACCGAGGTGAGGAAATCTCCAGTCGTCTGACGTGGGGGACAGAACCATCCTTGCCGTTCAAAGAATGCCTTGGCCTTGCTGGCTGGGCCAAAATAGATCTGGCGTCCCTCGTACAGCACCACAGCTTTGTCAAAGAGATCATAAATGGCCTGGCTGGCTTGGTAGATCGCCACAGCGTGTGCTGACGAATTTAGGTCTGCAGCCAGTCGCAAGGATTCCACAAACTTCAACGCGGTTGCCGAATCCAAGCCTCGGGTAGAATTGTCCCAGGCTGCCAAGGGAGCGCCTGCCAGAGCCATCTCCGCGATACTGACTCGCTTGCGCTCACCACCCGACACTCCTCGAACGGTGTCGTTTCCAACCTTAGTGTTGTAGGTGTGGCTAAGGCCAAAGACAGCCATGACGACTTTGGTCATCATCTGAGCGTACTCGTTCCTGGACATTCCACCCAGTCTTTTGGATGGAGTGCGCACCGCTGCCGCAAATTCCAGAGTCTGGCCGACAGTCAGGTGAGGGAAATGCTTGTCGACTTCCTGGTTGTAGACGACTTCGCCTTTGAACTCTTTGATCATCGTTTTCTGCGGAATTCCGCTGTAGTGAAGAACAGTCTTCTCGTCAACGTTCAAGCCATTTAGTTCCCCACTCAGAGTCTTGAGGAAAGTGCTGCACCCTGAGCCGGGTCGACCCAGCACAATCAACAACTCCCCACTGTGCAACACACCGTTGAAGTCGTGCAGGATGGTCTTGGGGGTTTTGTTCCCGAAATTCCAGGTTTCCCGTCGAAAGGGAGCGGTTACAAGATCTCCGACTGTCTTCTGCAATTGCAAGGCCGCTCCAGTGCCTGAGACGTGGAGATGTTGGAAAAAGATGCTGGCTTCTTTTCGCGGAACTCCTTCCTCGTTGAGCACATGAACGACCTTCCGCAACCACTTGTACAGATCAAAGTCTTTGTTTTCCGGGTTCAAAGCCGGGTCATCGAGTGAGATATCGGCCAAAGTGCTGACCTTGGAGACTGCATTGTCACGGCTGGCTAGCCGAGTGAGGTAACGAGCTTCATCAGGGGCGACGGAAGCTCTTCGGGTCGCTACCGGAGTCAGCTCGTCGTATTTCTCTTCATGACTGTTGTGTCCTGTTTCTGTCAATGAGGTAGCGACTGAGTGTGAACCGGCTTGGATCGGCGCATATTCTCTTCCACCGCCGTCCGATATGTCTTCTGCCATTGTCGATTAGTATGCGGTTGAAAGAAGGTGATTAGTGAAGGAAAGTCGGCGAGATTGAATGGAAAAAAGGGAATGAAAGTCTGTTTTTTAATTGACGCAAAAGAGAAAGTTGAAAGAACGGAAAAGAGGGACGATATAAAGGAACGACAGTAAGCAGTAAAGAAAGAAGAGAAAGTCAATCTCACTGTGTCTGATAGTAACATGGAAGACAATCCAGACTGAACGAGGTACAGAAGACGTACCATGTCTCGGATCATCCGCAAACCCTTTTTCGGGCCTCTTTGCCTTATGCAATGCATTATGGGCGTATATCGCCTCTGAACGCGCCTTAATGACAAACGGAAGTGAAATGAGTGACGATGCCGAGAATCCACGGTGGATCTGGAACCAACGAAGCCGGTACCGATCGGTGACAAGCACACACCGACTCCGTGAGCCTATCGAGGGCCGGGAATCCCCTTGTAAGGCCCATGATTACCGTGGGTTAACTTGGCTTGGCTGGTAGCATTATTGTTAGGACTCAGCTTATGAATCCGAGATATGGTTGATCCGCAAAAGTGATTGCCGGAGCCACCGGATATCCCATATTAGAGAGCGAGATTCGCATCAGCAACTAGTATCTGGGTAATAATCAAATGGTCAACGGAGGGATAGTTCACCCGAGGCTATCAATAATCAAGGCTATCAGGAGCTCAATATGGATCGGGTGGATACCTTTGAGATTCCGTTTTGGGAAGTCGACGCGAATTAGGCTGCTAGATAACAGTAGGGCGACAGCCCGGATGCAGGTGAGAAATCGTTTGTCAAAGGATGGCGTCTGCGTCTCACTGATGGATGGTGGTACGTACAACTACTGAAGGTTATCGGTTGATGCTGAGATGATGATGACACGAAGATCCTTCCACCCTACGGTAAAAGTCTTGGCACGTTTCTTGGGATCGACCATCCCGATAGCTTCATTCACTGCTACACTCACTGCTCTATATTTTCTCGGTACATTCTTCTTACTAACCCAATCTCTCTCTATTAATAGCTACCACATGTGTAGGCTTCTTGGTTAGTGAGTGTTCAACATTCTGCAATTTCTGCAATCTCTGATATAGAGCCTCTGTACTTCTTCTTCCCCTACCTCTGGTTATTGTTTATGGTGAACTGGGTACGTGAAAGATCTTCCAGGTCTTTCATCTACTATATAAGAATAAATATCGGCCTGGTACTCGTGCCTAAGGAGATCGACACAAGCAGTTACCTTGTGCGGACCCTTGAACATCATGACAACGCACTGACGGTGGATGACAATGAGGAGCCTTGGCTCCACAAGGAAGCGAGTGTACGGGTCTATGATCGCTGGGATAGCAAGCCCGATGACCATTGCATTTCAAAAAGCGACGATGGTCAATGATGCCTGAGGATATTTCGCTCAGCTATCTTGAATGTCAAATGCTGTACACTTCCAGGTACGAGTACCACCCACACATTGGATGAACCGAGCCACCCCAACCCCAGGCAATCAACAAGGTTCTACAATCCAATCCCAAACCCAGCAGAGGATCAACTACCCTCAAGACCAGGTCAATACAATGCAGTTCACGACTCCCCAGTTGCCCCAGGCCAACAGCTCAGGAGAACAGAAGCTGCTCTTTCAAGTTCCTGCTCTCAGCGCAATACCTGGACTAGCTGCCAATCCACCTCAGGGTCTCGCAACGCTCCAGAACACATCGCAGGTCGTCAACAACCCAGCGTCGGCTGCGAAGATATCGCACATGTTGGAGCTGTCCGGGACATCCTGCCCTACACCGACCTGCAGGTCAACCAGCCTACTTCAACCATGCGACACAAAGATGCCTTCACTACTGGCGCCCAGATCACTGAGCGGCTAGAAAGCTAAGTAAGTCGTACACCTGCCTCCACCAAGGCCGAGCAGCCAATTTCATCCACAAAAACACCAGTTCACGTCCAGTGATGAAGCCCAGCAGAAGCTGGACCAGTGCCTTGCTGCCCATGCCGCGAAGCGCACCAAACTCGATGATGAGGATATCTATAGGAAGAGCTGCTACAGAGAGTCGCAATATGCGGAGCCATAGACCCATAGTATCGAAGGAAGTCCAAGGACTATATGGAAACTTGATGCTTTTCATGTCAAACTGAGATGTACTAATGGTCTTGTCAACCATATAACCACTCGACTAAAAAGGTGTCTAGACGACCATTCCTAGCCTAGTAAAAATAGTAGTGTAATAATGTGTTCAACAGGTCTTTTCCATACTCCTTGACTTCGATCGTATAGTAAGGGGCACCATACACCCTGTGACATGCCTCCCAGATTTCGCACCATATCCCGTAAATGAGCTTGAATTGCTCAGCTCTGGTTTCATCCTCATTGAAGTCCTTGAACCGTTTTCGTAATTCGTCTTGGCTAGGCACTCCCTCCTCATGCTTGGAGTGTGCTTGACTGAAGACAGCTTTGATGGTCATGAATCCTTCTGATCCATCCTCTAACCTCTCCCTAGCACTCACGGTGAATACACTGCCACCTTTAGGCAGAGCCCATTCTACTACTCCATTAAAGCCGAGCCGACCGTTATCAGTGGTTCGGTACATCGAAAAGACCGTTGGATCGCCTCTCTGGTGAATGATCTGTCTTAGACTCTTAGGCATACCCGCATTGCTTGGGTATGGCCTGGCAGCAAATTGAACTCTCTTGGTTTTATGTTACCCTGCAAAGTAATTAGATTTTACCTTGAACTAGGTATTATCATGCTGTGCAACTTACAGAACAGAGAACAGCATCTGCTGACCCAAAATTTCTCATCGTCCACACTGTCTTGTATGCGCTTTTGAGATCATATTCTTTGAGCATCAGCGCGTCCCTTGCACTTGAATTAATAGCTATGCCATTGGTATGCCACGCAGCTAGGCATTCCCCAACATGCCTTCCGCCATCTAGCCGACCTCATTAGCATACCATCAACACTTAGGACAACAACACATACGCAAGTACAGGTCGCACGGCGGCGAGAGCACTGCTTGCAGAGCACCGAATTTTGAGCATCGAGCTCGCATTTAATCTCGAATGGTTCGAGCATGTTTGCATCGAACTTGTTGAGTGAGGTGCGGAGACACTTGAGACACCACATGAAGGGGGGTGGGCGGGGAGTATTTGTTCTGGAACCCACGTCTCGATCTTGATCGTCTTGCGACTAGGGCGGATCCGGATAAGGATGACAAGTTTAACCTCTCCATCAGATTGCTTTATCCACCAGCTCGCGTCTCCATGAGACGTTGTATACTCTGACATGCCCCCCTCGACCACCATTTTGGTGCCAAACTTGTACTGTGCAGCTCTCTCGTCTCCTAAGTCCATGACCCGAGCAATAGCCCACAGCAGGCGTAGCTCCGTATCTGTCGCTTCCTGGATGGCTTCTTCCAAAGATTTGCGGTGGTTCACCCACCCCTGGGTTGGTAATGAACTTGGCTTATGGCAGCTAGCTGATTAAGATACAGCTGACTCTTGTCATAGGCCCCCACATTGGTATGCTCGGGTTCAAACAAGATGAGCTCTTGTTCAAAGTTATCAAGAGCCATCATATGATGGTATAGCATCTCTCTTTCGGCGGCGCTCATGGGGAGGCGGATGATCTTCTCACTTTCCTGATGGTTGGCGCTTATTGCAGATTTAAATGCCTTGGCTAGAGGCTCATGTACTGCCGCGTTGTGAGCAAGGGCAGTCTCTCAGGACCGGAGTGTCTTGTGTTTGGTGGTGATGTATTTATTGATCTAAGCATCCGTGGCTCCGAAGACGACTTCAGCGGGTAGATCCTTTTTCACCGCAGAATTTGTCGATCCGATGGGTCCTGATTTGGGCCAGCCTTAGTGACATCTTAATAAATAGCTGTCGTCCAGTCCAACTCAAGATCCCATGAGCCCGTGTACCAGCGGATGATCGACGTGAGTTCAAGCGCGTTGCCGGTCATTCCCAGAGACGTCTATCCCGCACAATCATCAGTAACAATGAGGAAAGGGAGGTTATTAGAACATACAGATTTGCAGGATGCATGTCTAGCTCTACGCTGTTAACACAAGGACAAAGTGTTATCCTCAATGGATTTAATAAAGAAAGGCCTGACATCATCAACATCCTAATTCTAAGCTGAGATTCAGATGGAACATATCCACCAATAAGTAGTGCACGTTAAGACATCAGGAATTTTACCAATAGCCGTGCTGATAGGAAATGATGTGAGATTATAGATCAAGTAGTTGTTGAGGAAGAACAAACAAGAAGATTGTAAAGAAGGGGAGAAACACCTACTCCAGGATGAGGAGTTGAAGGAAAGAGAGAATGAAAATAAAATAAAAAAGATGCGAGAAAAACACTACAATGTCTCGAGTCATGAGCGACGTTAGAGTAGCCATTCACCATGACTGAATGGGTAAAGAATAAATGAGGCCATTCACTGCAGCTTTAATCTGGCTAGTAGTATATTCACCAACCGCCTGAGACAGAGACACTGAACCCAGCATAGACAGGCAATCCTGTATGTAGAATCTCGATTAGGCAATAAAAACCAGATGAAGCAAACTCAAGAAGCAAACCTATTCTTATGACATTTCGTCATGTTCACAATCTGCTTCAGTCTTCTTGTATTCTCGCTTCAGCTCCCGCACAGAGCAATCGAGCAAGAGCCGAGCATAGCCCCGATGAAGTCTCCCTGTCCACCCCGGAATCGTCTTCTGATGCTGCAGATCTCCCTCCTCAGGGACAATCTCGTAGTCATGAGCAGAAGCAAACCGTACCTCTACAAAAGGCGCTTGACTTTCACCGTCTCCCGCCCCATCAAACGGCTCCGAAACACTCAACTCATGGCGACCACCCGACATCAACCGCCACGGATACCCCCAGCGAGCAATCTTCTCGAAGAATCGACGCGGTTCATCCGGTATACGCCAGGAAATCAATAGCCCATTTCTATTATCCTCCGACGGTGGCCGTTCCACAACCAGCGCACCATTCAGAAGCCTACGTGGCTCCCCTGACGCAGTAGGCGATGCGAATCCCGCAGAAGTATCGCCGGTGTCCCCTGGAGATAATTTTCCTTTGGCCAGGAGGCCAATGAGACTGCCTTCTGCGCGGAGGACTTTGGTGCCTATGAACGCGCGAGCCCATGCATTAGTGATTTCCAGGTTCGTACTTTTGCTCTTATCAGGGACATCTGTCCTTTGAGCTCGGGGCAGCAGTGCTTTGACCGGCACGCGAGCCGCGTAGACGTCGACATATGCACAGTACTGGTTTGAGGAATTCTGTGGGGTGCGAAGAGCAATGCTAGTTATTGTTTCAGGCGGGAGAGCGGGATATTGTGCCTCGAGCGCGCTGAGGCCTTTGTGGATGCCGTATCCGATTGCCATCGGAGGGAGAGCGAGGATGAGTAGAAGACGCGTTCTAGATTGTGCTGCCATTGGTCGGGACTCAGGGATGACGCTCTGCCGTGGAAGCGATAGTCTGATCGACAGGCGTTACGACAGTTGGATTGTGAGATCTCGAGTGGACAGGTCTTTTTGTACTTTGGCCGTGCCAGTGACAGGATCATGCCATCCAACTGATTCAAGGACTTTGGTTAGAGCTCGGACTTGGGCATGTTTCATCTTTCAGAGGATGGTAGTTCGAGATGAATTATCACCTGTCAAGATATCAAGGATCTTGTATGTTATCGTCTCTGTTGGATTGTTGTGCACTGATGGGGGAAACATATAGAAACATATATTCCTGAGAAATACTCCATACTATTGACTGCGATGGGTAATTCACCAGGACACAGAGCATCCTCTGAACTCTGGATAGTGATTAGCACTCTATCCAGAGAATAATCTGAAAAATTTAATGTACACAGTCTCTTCCCGAATAAAAATCAACATGGTCTCATACTTATGGATCGATACTCGATAAGCTCATCAGCTCATCTATACCTGGTCCATCCCCACCTGTCCCGAATTTCGCTCTGTGCCTCAATTTTTTCTTCCCCGCACATATTATTCCACCAAGAATACTTCCTCGGAGTCCGACTCACCGTGCAATCTCATATTACTTGATACCTGAGCTATTTAGAGAATCTATAATCTTTCCTTAACCGAGACCAAACGATCCCGCACATAAGCTACTTCACAAATCAGGTCTCCCCGCATTCTCCTCGACCATGACCTCACCGCAAGCCAATTCCCTCGACGACATCTTCGGCTCCTCCCCACCTCACGAGAACGACACAATCCCCCAAAGACCATCCCGCCAGGCTCCCGAGCCTTCGGATCTCCCCTCTCTCCGCCGTCAGCACGTCACAGCCGGCTACCGCGATGGAGTCTCCGCCGCGAAAGGCGAGCACGTCCAGCACGGCTTCGATGCCGGTTTCCCAATCGGCGCACAGCTAGGTATGAGAGCAGGAACGGTGATCGGTATCATCGAGGGCTTACTGCGCGGATTTGAGAGTCGCGCGGCCTCTAGAGCAGTAAAGAAACCGCTTCAGCGGAGGGACGGCCCTTCCACCGAGCAGGGGACAGAGGCAGATGAAGCAGCGCGGCAGGCGAAGAGGGAGCAGCTGCTCAGGTTGTACCAGAAAGCTGTGAAGGAGCTGGATGTCCGGTCCGTATTTGCCGGTCTTGATGGTACGTTCGTGAGTGAGGAGGGGAGCACCAGAAAGAACGAGGGGCAGGAAAAACCGGAGGTTGTCCTCCGCCGGAAAGGGGACGCAGTCATTTCACAGTGGGAGGACCAGGCCCGGGTGGCGCATTGGGAAGAGAACATGGCCGCCTTGGAGCCAAAGGAGGACGAGCAGCCCGCGTCAACATCGACCGAACAGATCTAAGGTCATTGCTGTCGTAGTTATTCGACTCGACGCCATTTTCATCGCTAGCTTTGGACCGGATCAGACTCATGCCGTGCTGCTGCAGGCTCTGTGCTATCCACACGAATTTGCACGCATTGTGCTATCGATGGACACGGCACCTGCGAGGTCAATCGACCCCTGCAGCGATGGCGGCTGCAAAGCCTGCAGTTCCAGTCTCCCTGGCAGAACTGAAACCGATCGACCGGTCCGTGTCGGCAGCGCAAGGCGCTTGTGAGTATTGCAGCGGATGTCCATTGCAATGCACAAGCAGGTGGAAGCTCTAGCACTATTCCCGCCCCCTTGAAGGAACGTGGAGAAAGCTCATCAATGACCCGCGAAGCTTGCGATCAGTCAGATGGACACGCTAAGCTCATGGAATACAGTCGCATAGAGAAGGTAGACTAGTACTCAGCATGAGCAGATGGACAACTATTACAAGATGCTTCTCACCGCATTGAAATGTGTGCGAACAACCTACACCCCGTACATTTCTTTCCTGGAGCCCGACTGTGAAGCCCTTACACTATTTTGCCTCACCCGCACCTCAATGCAAGACATAACCGAGACATTATTGATGTGACTGCAGCTGCACCTCCAGCACCCACAAGCCATTCCACCGCAGGGACAAAACACTCCTCCTCGGTACACATAAAGCTAGCCACAAAATAACTAGGAAGAAAAGATGACAGACTCTACAGTACCCTGTGCTACTGCCAGAGACTCTGACGAGACCTGGCCAACAAAGTAAAGCCTCCCTTCCCCGGTAGGCAAGCAGATACAACAAGAGATGGGAAGGCTTGCGCCGGTGCGGGCGGTGGCTGGTGGTCACAGTTTGGCTATTGGAGCTGTATCCTATTTGGATCAAGGGATGAAGCCAGCCATAGAGTGTAGATACTGACGTCCTGTACGTACTAGTCAGAGCTCTGTTCGGTGTCCATACTCCATTCCTGGATACGTACGCGGTTACACTATGACCGCTGGACGGGATTACCCCAACATTCCATCCATTCCATTCATGGAAGATCTGTGTTTTATTTGTTTTGGTTTAGCCTGGTTATTCGTGTTGGGATTGTAACCCATGGGTACATTTGGCTTGCACCATGTATCTTGGCTATGATTCTTGATTCGTTTCACACATGAGAGAGAGTAACATAGAGGGAGAAGGAGGGAAAAGGTCGAGTGGCATCCATAACGAGGGATAATGTGGTAAGCCGAAATTCATAGATAGGAAAAGTTTCCAAAGAACGTTGCGTGTACAGTTGGAATCATCAGACGCAAAGAAAATCAAAGAACGACAGGTTGATAGCAAATAGACTCAAAGAAAGAACGAGCCAAGGCCCTATGGTGGCAACAGATCCAAGAACTCCTTCCGTTGCCTCATTATTCATACATGAATCCTCTCAGGACAGCGGTTGCTGCCTCTTCGGACATTATATCATATGACAGACATATCAGGGGGCTGCGCCCCTGCTCATTAGGTCATTGGAGAGAGCTTCTTCTCATCCGGGGTTGTGTTCATCTGAACGATGACAGCTCCTCTACTAGGAGTCCATGGTCGTAAAGTAGATCGTAAGACATCATTTAAAATAGACTCAATCGAATTTGCCTCATCTGCATAATCGGCCACTAAACATCAGCGGCAGGATGAAACGTAGAATCAGCACAGTCGTTATCTGAACGCCATTCGCCAGTTGCTGCAGCCGTTCTGAAGTAAACAAGCAGGAATAAATTACACCGATTTGCGTGGAAGAGATTTAGGAGGAGTAATGTCACCATGACAACCCAGGAGACGCAATGACTCCCAAACACGTTTGTAGAGGGGAGGGCGTGCAAGCGTCAAGCTGTGATGAATGGCCACGTCAGATCGCTCCTCGCGGCAGAAAGTACAAACTTTCTCCCTGTCAGTTACACGCCAAGTGGCAAGCGAATCGGACCGCTGTTTGCGTCTGGATTTGGCCTGGATGGCGGCGGCGGCGGACCGGTCAAAGTCGTAGTTCCGAGGCTGATCCCGATTCTGAGCCCTAGTTTGGCTGCTGTTCCGACGAGACCGAGGTGTGCGAGTCCTCACAAGGGAGGTAGTCGACGGGGAAACGAGTCGCAGTGTCTGCAATGGCGACGGCCGGAAGACATCACGACTTGACAGGGTCAAAGGTGCCATGGATTTGACAGGTTCAGGGAATGGATTCCTGGGCGGATGATCAGGCATTGTCGGGAATTTCTCCAGGGGTGGATCTGTTGGTGGAGAGGGTGTGGAACTCTGAAGTTTAGGAGCGGACTTCGCAACACGGAGTTGCACCCGACTGCGCACTTTCTTCAGGGTGTCCATAGGCTTCTTTGACAGTGATTTCGGACCCAGAGACTCAGAATCAGAATCAGGCTCCCACACGGAATGCTCAAAGGGGGCCTCGGAGGCCGAGGTCGACGGCCTTTCCCTTTTCGAAGAGACGGGGGCTTCATTCGTTGTCGTTGGAGAGGGAGGGCCACGACTGGGTACAGGGCTAGGGCATTCGTTGGCAGGAATAAACATGGCTTGATCGAAATGGGTTGTGTGCGGCTCGAGAGTGACTGGGTTGATGAGACAGGGAGGGGAAATCATCGAGGGTTCAATTGAAGGTCGACGACCACTGGAATTGGTGCCCCTCTTGCTGGACACACCACTGCCGTGACGTGGATTGATAGGAAGAGAGGGGAGTGGTTTCCCGCGTCGAGATGAAAGATCCTGGTCATCTGTTCGTGGCATCCTCAAGGTTTCCGTGGAACTTGCGAACTCGGTGTTCCGCGCGGGCGTCGAAGGACTCTTGGACGAAGCTGGTCGTAGACCGCCTGATGGCGTAGAAGAAGCTTGATGAAACTTCTCCAAGGACTTTGAATACGTACTCTGGTTTGGCAACTGGGCTGGCAGAGCAGGATAGTCAGAGCCTTGCAGGCCACTGTCGGGGTAGAATGCCGAGGAGTAATTCGATGAGAACGAGCTGCTCGGAGTCAGGTCGGGAGTTGCGTCGGTCTGGACGGAGCTGAAAGAGCCCTGGCTTTGGTGGAGGGGGTATTTTTCCCAACGTGGAACTGCAACTTGTGGTGGAAGAGAGTATTGATGCTCGAATTCAACGACGGAAAGTGTCGGTCGATCAGGATGCCCGGGACGGTGAGCCCGCTTTGATTCGCCTCTTACAGATCTGGGAAACGTCGGTTCCTTCTGACTGTGATTCGCGGAGGATAACATAAAATATTGCTTGGACTCCTCGCAGAATCGGACATCGCGAATGTCCCGTCTGCTACGGCCCCAAGCACCCGACCTGCCCAGGGAGTGTTCGAGGTAGAATGGATCCGGGTTTGTCTCGTCCACAATCTCTGGGCCGTGGTCAGGATAGAAGGACGAGGCGCGTTTCTTAGCAGGGGACGACGAGGGCAAGCGGACTCCAGTGTAGGGTCTATTCCGGCTTTTCAGTGAAGCGTTGAGGTCGCCGGGAAGGAAAGAATATGTGCCAGCCATGGGCTATGGTCGTAAGAGCTACAACAGATGCGACACTGTGTTCTCAGCGATAGACGGGAAGCATCGAGAATGCTTGACTGATGGTGAGAATCTAGCGCCGAAGTTGATAATAGTAAAGAGACATCAAAAGAGTGTCTGCAATATCTCAGAGACAGGAAGGGGGTGAAGGGGGTATGTTTATACATGCCTCCCCAAAAATAACTTTTCGATGGCTCCCTTCAAGTTCCAGTCCCCAACTACCAGTGAATTGGTGGCTAGGCCGGGGAGGAGCCCGAAAAGCGTCGACGCATGCCAACGGAGTATGATAAACAAAGCTCAATGATCAGAGCGCACGGACTTTAACGACCTATCAGACCTTACATGGTCCAGTTCCCTTCCACAGGGATGAGAGGCGCTGCAAGGCGAAACGGCCACCCAGACTGGAGCAAGGGAGGTCACCGGAACCCGATCCGTAGGGCAGAAGATGCGGGGCGATGCAAGTCAGACTCTACTCATGGCTCGAAAAAGTGCCAATGCACGGAATAATCATAATGTTATCGAAATTGCTTGAAGTAGTCTCCCGATTTGGTCGTTGTGGCAAGCCTTAAGACGCTCGAGCACCTTTCTCCTGATACGGTATAGGCGTCATGGACAAGCACGCTTGATATTGTGCTTGTACAAGGTCCTACTCAATGCTGTCACTGGGTATGCGAATGCACCATGGGCATGTCTGCAAAATGGTCAACCGTCAAGCAGCGGATCCAGACATTCTACTGACATCATGCGCACAATAATTGAGTGCACATGATACGACGGAAAGCTGGCATCGAACAAGCAGCGACAACCTGGTAAGTGGTGACTGATGACAGGTAAACGGGCCAGAAATTCTAGTCGGAGGCTGGAGTGTTTCGAGTCCACTAGGATGATTTTGACTTGGTACCAGACAGAGAATGTGAGATATCAGATTCAGGATGAGTAGCGCTGGGGCATAGTCGACACCACAGTTAGCTTCCAGGGTTGCCCGCTAAACCCTGGCCCGAGTTCCGCTGGCTGCAGTGGTGGCCGATCGTGCCGATCCCTCCAAAGACTCTTCAGGATGCACGGTCATTATGTTTTCTGACGCCACAGTTGATAGGGCTCCAAGGGAGCGTCAGGCAGTGCCCTCATCGGGTCGGCCAGTAAGTCTCAGTCATCCCCAGCATTTGACCACGCATGGTCTATTAAGTGTTAATGACTGAATTCTTCACTCAGAGGTCCCGTTAGTCTGTACACAGCCTGTGGTCCCGCATTCCGGGTTCCCGGATGGTTGAATGTGTCGTTATGTCGATCAGTTTAAGCAGATTTTCTGTTCTAAATCGTATCCTAAAAAATCAGTGCTCGCTGCATGGCCTCACTTTCCCGTATATACGCGTATGGTAGACTGGCATTGAAATAATGATGTAGGGGAGTGAGCTCCGATGGAGACGCCGCAAACCTCCTAACGTGCTGGCTTGGGCGTGGTTGGCATTGGCAAGTACGATTCCGATGACCAGTAACGTTTCCTTCTATTGCGGCGGGATCCAGGAGGAGACGAAGATAGAGGTTAGAGACTGGTGGACTGATCGAATTGATGAACTTGTCTTTATGACTGGTGTTGGGACTTGAAACTCAGGCGTAGGTAAAAGCACCACCCTCCTGCTATCCCATTGTGAGCGCAGAACTCCGTGATTAGTGATCATTCTAGACTCGGTCGATAGGTTTGTATGAAGCTGTCAGATGCATCGAGTGCTGATAGCTCGATATGCTCGTGGTATCGTCTCTCTATCTTCTGCAGCGATAAACAATAGCCCGAATGATTTGCAACGGGGTCTATGCGACGCATGCTCAATGGGGGAAATGGAACTCTGTATAATCGACAAATGACATCATGGGATGCCAAGAGGTACTTGATAACTGAGCAAACTCAGAATTGATGACGAAGTCGATAATTCTGCGAAAGTACGTGGGATGGAGATGGGAAGAAGACAAGATTTGGAGAGTGCGTCGGGGAAGCAACAAGGTCGCAGAACTCGCATTCCGGTGGCGCAGGGGGATGGTTCCTGGTATCTGGGCCTCAACTCTCGACATCACACTCATGAAAATGAATATCAAGTACTTTATTCTATGGCTGTGCTATGTACTTTGGTCCATGAATGAGTGGATGTAACGCTGAAACATCCTGGTTTTGTGCAGAGCTGCATCTTGGTGATATGCAACTTGTGCAATTCATGTATCTGTCTGGATTTGATTTCTTTTTCTTCGTTCTTTTTCCTCCTTCAAGGGGAATCAGATCTTCTGCAAGACTCGAGAGTGTTAACAGCATCTCTCGTTGATAGGTTCAATCTGGACATGATCCTTTTTCTAGGTCGGTGCCACTCTGAACTGATTTCCAGGAACCCGAAACACTGAAAGATAAGAGGTGGAGATATCTTAAGTATTGTTGATCCATATCACATTTTGCGATAATCTGTTCCACTTGACCTGTACTCAGTGTCGTCGGGAATCCTCACTCTGCCTGATCAATATTCCGAAATGAATGATGCGTGGTGCTGGTGAGCCATGCATCGATCGACGTGACAGTGATGCTGCAGAGTCTGGGATCATTGAGGTCACCGTTTCCACAGAGCCAGATGAATATAAGTAAATGCCGAGGCGCGGGTACACTATCGGACAACGCAGTCCTAAGCCAAGTGTCAGTAAGGATGAGTCGATAATTCTGAGACCGGGACGGATGGGATGGGTTCCAGAACTCGAAGCTTGATATTCTCCGATTCGTACGGTCGCCCTTGCTGAATTTCCTTCAACTCATCTGGTAGATATCTCGAAGATCCTTATTTGCATCTTCAGACTCTGAAGGTGAATTTCTTGTGCTGCAGTGCCATCACCATAGAGATGTTGGAGGCAGTGAGTGATGCATATCTTAATTTCTTTTGTCTCTGACGCACAAGGCATTAGGAATCGAGAAATCGACCCTATGTGACGACTGATGCAGGGTTCGATCAACTCCAGACAGCCGCCTCGTGAGACCCTGGGATTTGATGATGATCGTCGAAGAATTGCCGGGTACTCTGTATATCTAGAGTCCAAGATTTCGAGGCCTCAACCGACTGCCTGCTCAAAAGCAAGTCCGTGCTCAGATGTTCCAGATCCTGGAATCGTTTACACCATGGTGGGAAAGATCCAGGTACCAAAGATTAAGGGTTTGTTCCCAGCAATAAGGTAGACCAAGGAGGGCCTGATTTGGGTACCATGGAAGCAATTATTGAATCTAGGGAGCGACACCTTGCTGCTGCTGCTGGCTTCAGTTGCCATGAGAGTAGCAATACTCAACGACACTGAAATTAAAAATCAAGTCATTGGAACAGTCATCAAGATTTGAATTGACAGGCAGTGAGAACAGCGAATCTTATCCCTTTGACAGATTGCCAACGCATCGCCGATGCAGCATTGCGGCTGCTATGCTTTGCGAGCGGAAACCAGGAATCAGCATGAGACTGTTGTCCAGCGACCACGGGAAATTGGGAATAGCGACAACTAGCGATTTCTTGCTTTTTTCAGTTGGTGGAAATGGATCGTCAACTAAAACCCCATCGTTCTCTGGCTTCCCCAGTTGGCTGACTCTAGAATGGTCTGGCTTGAACTCGATCGGAAATCAAGGTCGCAAATCCAACAATGCGAGTCGGATTGTTACACCGCTGCAGTATTTCAGTCGGATTCTAAGAGGACAGAGGACTCGACTGATTCAAAAAGCCTTTTCGTTTGCTTGTCCTCGTAAGAAGTCTTATATATAGCCTGCAAAGAACTTCTTTGTGGATGAGCTTCCTTGATGTTCTTCCGCCGTGACTTCACGGGTCATAGGGGATAATATTGGTGGTCTAGATGTTGTAGATAGAAGGGCATGTCCCCGGGCTATCTATAATTGTAGGTTTATGGCATAAAAAATCAATCAAGAAGAGTGAATTGGCCCAATCGATTCCCCATCAAATCAGAGTTGGCGCCCGTCAGCGAGTCTTAGGTTGTTGTTCGCCCTCGGAAAAGTCCCTCGACTTTTCTCACGCGGCCGTCATCGTGTCTTCTCGGACAACTGTGCAGCAATCTACTACGACTTGGACAATCTTCCAGCAGCCATTGAGCTCTGTCGCTCAACTCCATGACGCCTACGAGCCATTTCCAGATGCTCGTGGCGGTCTGGTAGTGAGCTGAGCCAGGCTTTGAGGTGTGTCTTTGCGTTGTTCGTGGGTTTCCTTGTTCGATGCTCCTGCAGCTTGCGTTTTCCCAGCCATCCCATTTAATCCTTCGAGGTGTATCTCCCACCTGCACCACACCACACACACCCCCATTTGACCAGCCACAGTGTCTCCAATCTCCTTCTTTTCTGGCCTGCTACCATCTTCTCTTACCCAATGCTTATTCCTGTCTCCATTTTTATCCACATTCCTCCTCCGTGAAGTCGCTCACCATCATCTTCTCAGAGGCGGGTTCAAGGTGTTTGCTGGAAGAAAGAGGGCCTCCTCCGACAGGCGGAATCTCCACTGAGCTGCCCTGTACTCGCTGACGTCGGCGAGCTTTGACTCGCAATTCGGGCTTGCAAGAGTCTAGTCGCGATACCCTCACGTTGTCATCGCATCCATCTCAACGTCCCCTACAACAATCCCCAACCGTGTATCACCACACCCACGACCCAATTGACGAGACCTACGAAGTTCACGACTCATCAAAGTTTACGACCTTTCCACGGCAACGCCAGCAGCAGGCTGCTGCTCCTGATCCTGCGCTTGATCCCTTCCTTGATCCACTAGCCCGCCCCTCGAGTGCTTTGGGAAGTCCCCGTTCGTTACGCAGAACACCTCGTCTCACTCACCGACGAGCTGCTTCAGTAGATGTTTCGGGACGATACCACCAAATAGAGCAGTCGATACCTGTTTTGGTACAACCTGCCTCCGGCCAAGACCGCGCCCAGAACCCTGCTATACGTCCTTCGATCTCGGAAGCACAAACTGACG